GAGAATAGGAATGCATACCATGGAAAAACAAACCATCAGCTCCTGTATTTTATATCTTTATCATACTTTCTGAAGGTTTCAAGTTTAATTAAACTGAACAAGTTTAACTTTTGTAATTAAATGAAATCCCTGTGACCATGAGTGTTTTCATCTAAATGAGCTTATCTTCCAAACTCTTAGTTAAGGAAAGTAAAATGGCCTTAATATATACTTTGAATCAGGAAGAGCAGTTCTCTCACTCAGTCTGAGTGCCTCTAAAGCTGTTCAGAGGATGGTTATGAAATCATTTTTTTCTTTACAGGGGTGGGTTAAACTCCAAATCCGGCTGTGATAAGTTGGGATGCCTGCAAGCACTGATGCACGGGTGTAGCTGCAGGTCCAAATATAGCAGACAGCCTCCACTGGTCTCTTTTGATTTGTTGTACTTGTTGAAGAAGGTAAAGGACCATACTTGTGTACATGTGGACAGCTCAGGTTCGTCTGCATGCCCTCTTTACCCCACCATTCCTAAGCTTCACGCAGTAGAATAATAACGATATGGCATGAACATGTTTCTCATTTGTTCCAGTTAGTAATTGACTTGGACTGAAACCAGCTCCATAATTGAGTCATTAATAAAAGCAAACGTAAAGAGCATGCCAAAGAAATTACTGTAAGTATTGTTGCTTAGTTAAACTGTACTCCCGCCTTCTTACTTCTCTCTTACATTGATATGTAGGCATTAAACATTAATGCCGAATGTCATGACTAATCTAAACAAAGCAGTGTATTATTCGAATGTGATGTACAGTCAATCCGTCTCCACTTTTAATAGGCCAAAGTAAGATCTACATTGAGGTAATAGAGATGATGAAGGTCATGTTTTGTAAAATAATGAATCAGTAGATGAATAGAGTCAGAAATCAATCAGGTCGGCGTGTTAGATAGGAGGGCGAAGCCGCCTGGGGAGAGCAGACGTATTACTTAGATACATGAAGCAGAGGCACAGCCACAGGGAGGTGACCTGATGCTCTTGAACATGAACATGCAATCACACACTGGTAAACCGAACAAACTGCCACCGGGGAAAATGCCCGCTCTGCTGATGAACGGTGCGGGGGAGCTGGAACCTTCGAGTCACACTGCTGGGTTTACATTAAACATTATAGAATAAATTAACTCCTTATAGAGAAGGAGGAGCAGTTTCCTGCACAGGATACTGCAGGAAATGCAAAGGATTGTTTTTTGAAACGGTGCCACATGTAATATGAAGGAAGATGGTTCCCTCACAGCTCTGTAGGACTTTGCAGTCTTTCAGATCACAGTTTGGCTTGACTCTATTATGACAACACAACAGGAAGCCAACTGAAAGATAAATGTCTGTCTTTGCACAACAGGCATGCAACTTTAGTGTTGAAAATGCTTGCATATGAGCCTATAGAGCGAAACATTTTTTTTCCCTTTTGTTGAGAGTGAAATACAGCAGGAGGCAGACTGAGTCTTGTTGAGTAGAAAGACCTGCAGCCTTTAAATTAAAACCACTCATATGCTTCGATAACATCTTTAAGGAATCCTTCAGTCTATATAAACATAAATGCAAAAAAGAATCACTCATTGGACAATTTATTAGATACAACTTTCTGCTGTATCCTGTTTAACCGTCAGAAAGTCTTTATACAACAAGGCACCAGAACCTTTCCTTTTGGTCCATAATAACATGATGACATATCAGAGCTCCTGCTGCAGATTTGCCCATGATGAGAATCCCCCCTAGTCCACCATGATCCAAAGCTGCTCTGTTGGATTAATATCTGCTGACCCATCAAGGAGGTATTTCCTTCCACACAGCTGAAGTCAACTGAATATGTTCTTTCCTTATAGATCATCAGTTTCTGAACTAGATTTTTCTGCATGGCACCAAAAAAACAGGAAACCTTTAAAATAAATTAAATCTGCTTTTATTCATCATTCTGACCAAAGGCTTGAACTTTACCACGTCTGCTTTACCTTTTCTAAATGCTTAACTTGCAGCTGACTATGTGATTGGGTGGTTTGTTATTTGTATTGGGAAGCAAACTGAGCCAGGGCAGCTGATAAAGTTATTGGGGAAGTAAAGAGCTGCAGATAGCTAACTCCCCCTTAGGGCTTCATGATGGTTTTTGCATCCAAATCTTTGAAGCTATTGGGATTTTCTACCAAGCCCCCAATCAGTTGTACTTCACCAGACCTGCTGTGCCCTGTCGTTCAACTCATGGGTACATCATGATAGAATCTAATCCAAAATGTCTAGCATTGCTCTTGTTTGTTAACCTCCATTTAACACTAATATACTATCATTGTTTTCCTACAAGGAACTTGAGCATATATTTTCTGTCCATGTGCTCCCTTAACAATGGATTGTAAATGTAAATAATCATCCTTTCCTTTTCTCATAATCTCTTGTCATATTCAGAAAGACCCTTACAAACTTAAATGGGTGTTTTATTAAAGTAGACCATGAACCATGAATACTGCACAGTAGTAACATCATTAATCCAGTTATGGCTGCACAGAGACAAGCCCCTCTTTAGTCCACCTCAGCCTTTACAAGGCCTGCACTCAAGCCTCCATGTCCTACTGCCATGTATACTTAAGTACAAGAGGCCTTACCAAACCTGTGCACTATGCATGCCTTCCTGTCGAAATGAGAGGGAGCAGAGGAAGGTTAACCTCCAACCCAGCGGACTCAATGCTGATAAATTCAGTTTGAGACAGCTGCTGATTATTATTTGCATCCGTCTATAAAACAAAAACGTTAGTCCTAATTTAAATGCTGTGAAAAATAGTAAACAATCATATGTAAATTATATAACAATAGATTATAGTGATGAGTAATAGCTAGCTCTATAGCTAAATTCAACAAAAAGGCATGATGCCAAGAGAAATAAGTTGATAAATAAGCATTAAGAACAACTGTATGGATAGATGTATGTATTTGAAAAGATTTGGACTGAATTGCAAAACTTTGGAATTAAAAGTGGAGAGCCTAAAAGCACAGTGCAAAAACTGAACACAAAATAGTATCCTTTAGTGGATGGATCCTCTTTGTCTATAGAAAACAAGGTGATCACTTTAAAAATCATGGTTAAAATCAGATCCTCTGTTTTTATGTCCTCACAGCTCCTCTGCCTTTAATAAAGATCCAGACCTCAACCTAATGATCCGCAATGCTTATTTCGTGTTTACAGTTTGTTGCATTTTTTCAGCACTGCACAATAATAGAAAACTACTGCCTGACCAACATTTTCAGCAAATTTCTCATTAGAAACACTCTCACATAGCTTTAGCATTTTTTTATCACACCGATCAACAGGTGGAGCATGAATGATACTCCATTTAGGTGACCAAATATGGTTCTAGTAATTGCATTTTGAGTACTGTATGTGTAACCTTAGTTTAAAGGCTTGCAGACATATACTGTGAAATAAAATATGTCTAATTTTGTCCAAGCAAAACTGTAATGACTATAACCATGCCATAAAAAAGTACATCCCCATAAACCTCAGCTTCATCTATCCATTCCAGTGGAGATTATGCTCACAGTGAGCAGGGATAATCTAAAATGCAGTTTTTTCTTGTAAACAGTTGCAGCCTGTTGAGCTCCTGCTTGTAACACAGACCCCCCTCCGATCATATTTTAATGCTGTATCTTATTGCCTGCAGTCAGTATTTGCATCCTGATTGCAGAGCTGCACAAGTCAACGGCACAAGACAAAGGGCTGATTAAAAGACCAGATTAATCTGTCAGGAGTAATTCTTGGAGTTCAATTAGGGCCTACAAAAGCGTTAACAGCAGGCACATGCTGTGCAGAACAAGTCTACATTTACATACCCTTTAGCATCAAGTGCTGGTAGAAACTTGCCACCGGCTCAGTTCAGCCTGCAGGATTTCCGAGACAAAAGCATCTTTTCCTCTTCCTGGGGTTTTGTTTCAAAATTTTTCTTGCAGTTTTACAATTTGTAAAAGACTCATTGTTTTTTTTTCTCTCTCTCTCCTTGGTTTAATATGTTTCAAAGTGAGAGTTATATAAGCAGCTCTCCTCTCTTGCTTTTGGATGGATGAATAGGAGGAGATCAAAAGAGGGTCTGCTGCCTTCTCTTCGTCTTTATTCCTGCCACATTCTGCCATGGCAGTTCCCTCTAACCACTGGTCTTGGCCTGGATTCTCTTATTCTCTTCTGTCTCTCTCTAGGACATTACACTTTAATCTCATGTTCTCCGCTGCTCTCTGTCTCCGTTTCTCTTGCCCCTCTTTTTGGCTTCCCTTCATCCATCCATGCATACATCCATCATCCATCCAACCATTTCTCTATGTCTCTAATCCCGTGGTCTGTACATCTTTGGCCCCCAGAACATTATTCTAATCTGCAGTGTTGGTGTTATGTGTGACTACAGTAATCCCTCACATTATGTGTGTGTGTGTGTTTGCGCATATATCTTTGCACCCAGCAGGGGATTTTCGACAGTTTTAGTGCAGTGAGTGTTTGTTTTTGTTTGTATGTGGTTTTAGTCCTTCACAAAGTGAAACCGCAAAGCACATCTGTTGGCGCACAAGTGACAGATTAAGGGGGGGGTCTTCATGCAAATGCACAAACACATGATGGAAATGACGGCACACATTTACACCCTGATTAAAATCACACAGACACACACAGACATCGCTGCTCCTGTGAAGGATGGAGACAGGGAAGATTGTGCAGGAAGGGATTCTTTATCGTCACAAAGTATAATCTCCCTCTTTAATCTTGCTTTCGTTGAAAACTCTCCTAAGCTTTGCAGGGTAAATAGCCCAACTTTATTTTTATACATTTTTTTTGCTCCAGTCCGCTGCGTAAAAGCGCTCCAACAAAGCGACAGTCCAACAACAGGCGCACATGCATTCAGAGGATGACAGTCCCTATCAGCCTATGCAAACCTGCATGGACAGACTTTTTTTTTTTTTTCCACAAATGCACAGTCATCAACATGAACCCGATCCATACCTACTGCATGGGAGCCTTTCCTCCTCTCTCTCCTCTCCGCGTCCATCCCTTTCTATTCCCTCCTCTTCAGTTAGCGGATATTACAGCAGCTCCTGCATCAGCCTGTACAGCGGGGCGATGGGAAGGATCGGGAATGCGTCCGCGATGAGCACCAGCTCCCACCCCGCTGTGCTGCGCTCCACTGTGGGTTAATGTGTGTGTGTAGGATTAGAGAGAGCCGCGGGAAGCTGGATATAATATACAGCCCCCCCTCCCTCCCATACACACGCAAACACGCGCGCCTCTCTGTGCGCTCAGTGCGCAGCGCTCAGGTGTCTTTCTCATCAACTTCAATTTAAACTCAGACGCGCTGAAGCTGGTATCCGATTCGAGACTAAACAAACCTCTGCTCCTGTTTTGGACAACTTTTAACAAGCTTCAATTTAACACATTTGATCTGGACTATTTTACGTTGCTGTATCTTTCATGTTTTGTGAGGTATTCATTCAGTTTGTGAGAAGTGAAATATTAATGTTATGCTTTTTTTGCATTTACATGATTCCAGTTTGAACCTGGGCAGCATGTTTTTTTCCAAATGTATGACCTTTTGCCAACAGTAATGGATTTGTCAACTGTGTTTACTGTAGCATATTCTGTATTATGATTTTTTGTCATGTAGGTTCAGCATTCAGTGGCAGAAATTCTAAGATGGTCTACGTGTAAAATAGTTTAATCCAAGAAAAATATAAATATTGTCAATTTAATGAACCATTTGAATAGAAATAGAATATCACAAGCTACAAACTGTGCACTTTAATCTATTATTATTTCTAAACACTTCTGTCTAGGGATGGACTCAGGTCTAGAGTTAAGAAATGGATCTAACGGTCACCATTTTCAACTAGCCTAGTAAACTAGCCCAACCCGCCAGCGGCCAAAATAATTTTTGCCTGCGAGTGTACTAGCTTTGATCAGTGCCCCAGGCCCTAGAACTGGCGGGCCAATCACAACGCAGAGATGTGTTTGAACGTCTGGATGCAAAGTGGGCGGGGTTTTGAGGGCGTGACGACAAAGATAGTTCTCTTTCTGTTGCTGTTGTTCAATAAAAGTATGTTTTAAGATCATTTGAGGCGAGAATATTAGACTTTAAAGCCTCACTATATGGTCCATTTACAGATTTAATACGTAAACAAAAAACAATTTCCGAAGTTGAGAGGAGCGCCGCAACCAGGCAGCCAGGGCTAACAGCAGCCCGTCTGCAGCGGCCCTCTCTTGGCATAGTCCGGTGTGATAGACCACTGGCTCTGATGGAGATTTTTGACTCAGCTTTGGAATTAGTTTTGGAAGGATTAGACTTGGGTTTTTTGTTGAAACGTGAGCAGGAAGACGCTCCACGCTCGTTTATTTTTAATAAGGGTGTATTCGCCGTTTTACCGACAGGCTGTTTGTTTACACTTCCCCACCAGCTTTCTGTCGCCCTAACTACGTCACACTCAGTTGTGCTCATTGGTCAGAGCGTTGGCCAATAGGCACAGACATGGTTTGAAAGACAACGGGTTGTTCTCATCAATGATCTTCCGATGTCTCATTCATCGGGGCCAGATTAAATAACACCTTTCATCTCCCATGTACAGTAGTCTGGTTTATCAGGCTAATTTTCAACCATCGTGGAAAATAACAGTTCTTTAATTGTTTGTAATTTGAATACAAATGTCTCAAATCACAAACTCTGATTTAAAGAATGGGTCACAACTGACAATTATAAGTGCATATCCATCCATCCATCCATCCATCCATCCATCCATCCATCCATCCATCCATCCATCCATCCATCCATCCATCCATCCATCCATCCATCCATCNTCCATCCATCCATCCATCCATCCATCCATCCATCCATCCATCCATCCATCCATCCATCCATCCATCCATCCATCCATCCATCCATCCAGTGGTTAAAAGTTATCACTTTTTTCCATCAATTCACTAAATATTTGCCAATCTTGCGCCATGTTTGATAAACTCTGTGATGACTGTAAAACAGTGCAGTCCACTTTGACCATTCCAAGAATTTCAGATCTCCAATGAAAGCGGATAAAATCGTAATAAAATGTTGCAAACTATCCCTTTAACCAATCAGATGCTGGCTTCAACATCCTCTTCACAAGCAGCTTTTTGACATGACGTTAATGCCTCATATTTCCTCCTCAGAGGTCTGAGCGATAAACACCGACTATAAAGGAGCGACTTATCTCTGTTTCTTGCTCGGTTTATCCCCCGAAGTCTGCAGTCTTTTTTCCATAAACCGAGCGCGTTTAGCAGCAGCTTGACAGGTGTCACCACCACTCCTCCTCCTCCCTGTCCCGGTGTGGGAGCTCTATAGGAGCTGCTCCTTATAGCAGCTCTTTGAGCTCCGTTACTGGGTTCAGCAGGTCGTCACGGTCCGACAGCTCCTGACAAGACACTGCCAGTGGTGACAGGTGCCCACCCCAAAGGCTGCTGGAGCGTGAAAGTATTCACACCCCTTCAAGTTTCCCACCACAAGATTGAATACATTTTAATGAGATTTTATGAGTTTAATGGTGATGCATGGTTCTGGAGATATGTTAAAATCTGTAAAGTGTAGATTGGAGTTCAGCTGCTAGTCTTTTTTTGGGTTTGCAAGTTTATGGACCAGACTTATTTCTCCACTTTACAAATAGGCTCAAGCTCAGCTATTCCAAACAGAAGGCTCCTCTGAACATCAGCTTTCAGGTCTTGCCTATGGGACTGACTGTATGCTGAGGACATGGGGTCCGAAGTGAAGGGAGGGGCCTCTGATTTCCTCTGAATCAGCAGTTCAATAATCGTAGAAATATTGAGCTTTAGGAAATTAGGCTGATCCACATAAAAAAAAGAAGAGATTTTAGAGTTTTATATTTAATTTTTTTTTATTATTTGTCCACATTATTCATTAGCCATATTATTTTAAGTATGGTATGGTATAGCCATATTGATATTGTTTTCCCATCATTTAAACATGGTAAATAGGATCAACGGATTCCATCAGCAGAGTTTTCAAATAAAGTTCTCCTTTTTGGAAATGATGCAATTTAAGGAAATGTATGAGACCCTTTTTTTAAAACTTATAATATTTTCTTCTTCACCCTTTTTATTTAACACTATTTTACAGTTTCTCTCCTGTCTTGTGCTTCTAACAGTTTGCCTCACAGTATTTCCACATGGTAGTGCCAGCTTCATGGTGTGGGGACGCTTCAAGGGAGCTATTGAGAAATTAGATGGAGCATAACTACTTCCCTTATATCAGGGATGTTGTTCGGGGTTTACTATTCAATGCTGGATAGCTGTAAAAAGCTCCAATCTGGCGAGTGCATTGCTAACAGTCCTGTTAACAGATTCTCCTACCTGAGCAGTGGATGTCTGCTACTCCTCTACAGTCTCTTATCTGCTTCTCTGGTATGTGATCTTTACCTGTCCCATACTGATGGAAAACCAGGTTTTGCATTTTGCAGTGTTTCTATATTCTCCATTTTTAGAAGATGGATGTAACAGAGCTTTATTCTGTTCTTAAAAGGTCATGATGTTTGCTCACTATTAACAAACCTTCACTGTATTGGTACTGAGATTTATCACAGCATCATGTTTCTGGAGGTAGTTGGTTATACTGCATTTTAGTTTAGGGTATTAATGCATAATGGACACGTCATATTTTGCTATTTATATTTAAAAATATTGAAGAAACCAGCTGTTTTTTTGTTCCTCTTCACAAATGTGTGCTACTTTGTGTTTTGGTCTACTTGATAAATTCCCAATAAGATAAAGTGGCCTGTGTGCTGCAGAGAAGACAAAGTGTTTTGAAGTCTACAGACATATTTAGGAGGCTGCTGTATGTAGACTTAAGAAGTTAATTATTTAATTTGGATTAAAAATACAAAGCTGTATGTAGAGTACCCAGACAGAACCATGTTGCAGGAGAAATGAAGATTCTCAGTCATCCAGGTCATAGTCATTCCGTAAAAGTTAAGAGGTGGCGAAACGTCTTCAAATCTTGGAAACCAAGTCCAGTGGATTTTTTTTTTTTACTTTTATGGAATGTGGTTAATGTGTTTTTCTTTTATGCAGATACTTTAACAGATAAGTCACAATTACCTCTGGTTGTGAACACAGCTAGTATTTGTTACTTTTGAGTTAACCAGGTTCAAACCAACTAGGTTCACTGTCTGCTTCATCATAATACAAAGCATGCTGTACTACAATCCACACTGGATCAATTCCTACTAATAAACTGATCATAGGATCTGTTTTACTCTGACTTCCTGTCTGACTTTTATGGTTTCTTACAAATGTGCAATTCCCCATTTTTCCCTTTGACTCATATCACTGTGGGGCGATTGAGGTGGCTCCTCTGTCATTCAGTAGTGTCCTGCAGCCAGTGGAAATTACCACATTGACTTGAATGGCTTCTATTGGCAAGGAGAGCAAAATGTTTTGATAACTGAATGTATAGACTCATCCTTTGTGATCCACTCAGCTGGAGTCGTAGGATATTCATATAACTGCAAAAGCTTGAGGGCTGCTCATCGGCGCAGTGGGTAGCACTGCTGTCTTGAGGCAAGAAGGTTCTGGGTTTGATTCCCGGCCTGGGGTTTTTCTGCATGGAGTTTGCATGTTCTCCCTGAGCATGCGTGGGTTCTCTCCGGGTACTCCGGCTTCCTCCCACAGTCCAAAAACATGATTGTTAGGTTAACTGGCTTCTCTAGATTCTCCTTAGGTGTGAGTGTGTGAGTGAATGGTTGTATGTCCTGTTTTTTTCTCTGTGTTGCCCTGCGATGGACTGGTGACCTGTCCAGGGTGTACGCCGTCGCCGCCTCTCGCACATTGACAGCTGGAGATAGGCACCAGCACCCCTCGCTGGTGACAGATAATAGATGGATGAATGGATGGATGCAAAAACTTGACTTAATTTATGAATAGTTTCTTCAGGTGTGCAAACTATTTTCACTTTGCAGTTTCTCTCCCAAGGTCATAAAGTTTACTTTCCCCTCACAGCATATTCTGGACCAAATTTCTGGCAGTATTTTTCTCCTTATTTATAAAGAGGCCTGTTATTAATTTAAACACGCCAGCTAGAGTAACAAAAAGTCACTCTCATGCGTCAGATTGCAATTATCAGAGTTAGAGGTCAAAGACAAGGTTCCTCCA